GATCAATAGTTGAAGTAATGAAACTTCATCAGCTGAGGTGGTTGGAACATGTGCTGCGTATGCCTAACCACCGACTGCCTCGACGAGCTTTGTTTTGTAGAGTAGGAATAGGTTGGAAGAGAGCTAGGAGAGACCAGATCGAAACATGGCAGAAATCCATGAAGTCACTGACAAGTGGATTGAGTAACGTTGGTAGATGTTGGCTACGTGGTTCGGGCCCGCGAGACGATAGTCACCGATGGTTAGAGACCTTGAACGACATGACTCGGAATCGTTTGCAATGGCGCAGGTACATCAACTCTTCGTGTTATATGAAATTCTAAGCTTCTGCATTCCTCATAATCTCTACCTTTCTGCTTCCAAATTCATCTTACTGAATTATACTTCTCGAATCATATCTTCGCTCCCTAATCTTCTCCATTGCTGCTGATAATTCTACTATAGCTATCACTCTTGGATTTGAACTGACAGTTACGTCTCTGTGCTGACGTGGTATGGCAACCTGAACTGACGTACTTACTTACGAAGTTCTGCGTTGTATCTGTGTCTTAAAGGTCGTCGAAAACCTTAACGACCTAAAGGTGTTGTTAGTTATTTTATAACTAATTGTAGTTATGTCATAACTAACCAATCAGATTGGTTAAGCGCTCACCACGTCATCTAGTCTGACCGGTCTATGGACTTTCTTGTTGTGAACGGCCTATCGATTGAAGGATGTTGTTATTTTATTTTATATAGATGTGACTCATGTTTTTTATTCATTTTCTAAAGACACGCTATACTGTCCGGTACGTTTGCTCATCCTGCTTGATAATTGTAATTTCCTTATTTATTGTACTAAATTATTCGTTTTCTTTTTGTTTAGAAACAGATAAAGTTTAATACCGAATTGTCTTCTGTTAACTATAGTTTCACTCTGGACTCTGTCATCGGCGGTATTTGCGTTTACGTTTTAGAATTACATCTGTAGGATAAATTAAATCCTACATAGTTTCGGACAGTAATTCATCAGAAGTTCATATACTGATTACCTTCAAATGTCCACGGAGATTCTTAAAACTGATCAGATTCCTAAATTGTCTCCCTACCGCTCGGAAACTCACAGTGAATACCAGTTTAGAAGAAATAGCTACAGAATAGATCCTTTGTTAGAGTTAGAATTAGCAAAAATACGTTTAGCTCATATAGAGAAGGAAATTGAGTTAGAACGCTTACGTCAAAAAGGAAGAGAATATCGTAAACAAGTTGTGGCCGTTTCCGAGAAGAAATCAAATTTGTTTATTATGGAAAGTAACAGTGAACATGATAAAATTCAGATAAACCTGAATGGAAGAAACCCTCCTCGCACTAACTCGACAGATCAGGATTTTTCTAGTTCTCCTTCTAATGATTATGTTCCTCACACAGAGGCTTCCGTTGCATCACTCGAAGCATCAAATGAATTAGCTAAGTCACCTGCCGTTCTATCAAGTTTTGCTATAGCTAAGAAAGACATTCCATCTGATTCTATTGTCGGATCAAATATTTCATCAAGCGCTGTGAATGCTGATGTGTCGAAAGATGCTTCGGTTAATTTATGGACATCATCATCTACAAGTCATGATTCTGCTTCGTGTCCTTTTACTGCATTGGCTAAAGTTGTTACAGCTTCTCAGACAGACTGTAAGGATTCGAAAAATCTAGAAGATTCTGCTAAGGAAGTAGTTGAAGATAAACGGGAAGAAACGTTAACTTTAGCGGAAGTCGACCTAGTTGCAGGTGAAAGAGAAATAACAGTTATTCGACAGCATTGCCGAGCTCATAATTCCGATGCTAATAAACAGAGGTGTAATAATCTTGGACCTTTTCATTTCGAGTTAAACGATGTACACAACAACGGTGCTGAAAAGAATAAAGAATCTCTCTGCAGGTCACGGATAGTAGTAAGTTTAGTGTATAAATGCAGACTGTTGATTAATACTCTCAGTTGGTTACAAATGCCTGCTGCTCTAGTTGACTCACGAACTTTGAGAATGGTTGCAATTAATGAGGTGGGTAGTTATGTAATGGCTACATGGAGCAACGACTTCCAATGTCTTGCTGAGGTTCTAGCCCATCGTCAGCGACATGGTACAAGAGCAGAGTATCGCATACGTTATATTTGGGATCGCGTTGTGGAATGGACACCCGTCAGCAAGTTACGCAAAGCAACTCAGTACGAAATCGATTATGTCTTAAAATTCTGTAAAGAGCAAGGTACACTATCCACAAATAAAATCCCTAGTAAATTTGATCTGCAGTATTCATGTAGTAGTAGCAATGATTCTGCATCAGGAACATCTCAAGCTAAAAGAATAAGGACAAATGTGTCAGAAAGCAAGTCAATAGACCGCACTTCGGATCCTGAAACACATCGCTATCGGTCACGTCCTACTCATGTAAGTACAAGTGGTTTCTCTGTCTTAGAAGACAAGAAGACTCTACTTCCAAAATTATTTGATGAAATCATCAAACAGGATGTGATGGTTTGTGATAAGAGTGTTTTCCAGTTTCACGAAGCCTGTCGAAGACGTGAATTGAAAAGAAAAGCTATCGAAGAGAACGACACAGGTCCATATGGATTGGACAGTTCTGTATCTGTTTTGAGTCAAACATACACCATCAGGTCAAACCATCATGCACTTAATCACCTCTCAGCTAAGGACGAACTAGAAGATAAGTTTGAGCAGTTGTATTCAACCGAATTCAAAGACCCAGTTAGTCTTACCCCATCGATGTCTGTTGAAGATCGTATAGCATTCAACGCTATATCAAGCTCAGTTCAAAAGCTAAATGGACACTACCAAATAGCTCTGCCGTGGAGGCATGAACATAAGCTGCCTAATAATAAAAAATTAGCAGAGCATAGACTCAACTGTTTAAGAGGTAGACTTGTCAGGGATGCGAAGCTGTTTCAAGACTATGTGAATACTATGGCACGATATATAGAAAAGGATTACGCCGAGAAGGTAGACGATAAAGACTCTGATGGACGAATATGGTATCTTCCTCATCACCCTGTCTTTCATCCCAAGAAGCCCGATAAGTCAAGAGTAGTGTTCGATTGCGCGGCTCAGTATGCTGGGACATCTCTAAATAAAAATCTTTATTCTGGGCCTGATCTAGTTAATAACTTAGTAGACGTCTTCACCAGGTTTCGGCTACTACCAATAGGCCTTACGGCAGACATCGAAGCCATGTTCCATCAAGTAATGGTCCCGATACACAACCGAGACGCTCTTAGGTATTTGTGGTGGCCAGGTGGAAATTTGGAAAAAGAGCCAGAGGTCTATAGAATGAAAGTCCATCTGTTCGGAGCAACTTCATCACCATGTTGCGCCACGTTTGCCGTGCAAAAATCGATTTCCGATAACCAAGATAAATTTCCCCAAGTTGTTACACAAGCAGATGAGGAACAGTTCTATGTGGACGATTTATTGATAAGCGTGGATACCATAGAAGAAGCTAAACTGACTTATTCGTATTTCAGAAGACTCTTAAGTCTGGGAGGATTTAACTTAACTAAATGGACGAGCAACAACCTTGAAGTGCTGGAGTTCATTCCGGAGAATGATCGTACTGAAGGAAGCATCGCCGTCTGCGAATCAAACGAGATGAGTAAACGAACGCTGGGGTTAGAGTGGAACACTAGAACAGACGAATTATGTCTCAAAGTTCACGAGTTTCCTGGAAACCTGACCAGAAGGAATATTTTGTCGTTTATAGCATTAATCTTTGATCCCGGAGGAGGTATATGGAAACATATTACAAAGTCAACGAGAAGGAAGCCACAACATGGAGACTCACCGTTAGTAAACAATACTAGTTTGCTGAGAAATCTTTGGGTTGAAGCTATAGTTAGAGAAGTCAATTATGGTCCCGATGGCCGATTCAGAACGATTCGATTGAAGAGACACCGTAGACATCAACCGAGATATACGAAACCTATGCCTAATGGAAGAGGTCGATTATTCGAGCGCGACGGCAACGAGGTCTGGACGTGGTGACCGCTTCGGGGGGAGTGTTAGTTATTTTATAACTAATTGTAGTTATGTCATAACTAACCAATCAGATTGGTTAAGCGCTCACCACGTCATCTAGTCTGACCGGTCTATGGACTTCCTTGTTGTGAACGGCCTATCGATTGAAGGATGTTGTTATTTTATTTTATATAGATGTGACTCATGTTTTTTATTCATTTTCTAAAGACACGCTATACTGTCCGGTACGTTTGCTCATCCTGCTTGATAATTGTAATTTCCTTATTTATTGTACTAAATTATTCGTTTTCTTTTTGTTTAGAAACAGATAAAGTTTAATACCGAATTGTCTTCTGTTAACTATAGTTTCACTCTGGACTCTGTCATCGGCGGTATTTGCGTTTACGTTTTAGAATTACATCTGTAGGATAAATTAAATCCTACAGGTGTTTTGTAGAATAATTGTAAGCAAAATACAGGATGAGCGGAATGTCTGCTAATGCAGAGTATAGTAGTAGAATGGTTACATGTTAGAACAGTGAAACCTTGTCATAGCGAATGTATGAATGGAGGGTTTGCACAAACAAGAATACTTACAATCAACATACACTATTCGTCGTCATGAACTGAAGAAAGTAGACATGTTTCAAAGTAGACCTACATGTTACTAATTATGAAAACGAATTTGCAAATATTTCAAGATGAAAACTGTTTGCGGAACTTTTTTATGCTCTCGCTGTTAAACAAACTATGGAGTACCTCAATATTATCACGTTCCTTGACAATGATTATTTAGCACTACTGTTTGTTCGGAGTGGTCCATAGGATGCATCTAGCTTAACTATTCTAGATTAGCATATTTCATAAACAAATATTATTGTCTAAATTCTTGAGAAATATATATGTATGGGTAGAGGATTAATGGAAGTTAACGTTCCATGGTCCGTGAGAATATAAAATGATTGGGAAGAATTTACAACTGCAATTAATGGAACACGAATAGCACATAAATTGATTAGAATACTATAAACTTATTGACTTCTATTTGGAAAATTACGACTGATTACTGAGTTCATTTTACTGTACAAATACCTGGAACTGTAACGAAAGAACAAGAATCGAACACAAAGAAATCAACTGGTGCATACTGAATATTGGATATTGGAATAATCAACTTTTATAGAAAAATGTATAACCACAATGAGCATCAAAAGACTTTATTTACATTCACGATTTGACGTACATTAGCAAAATCTTCGTTGCCATTGTTATTACAGAAACAGTGATTTATTGCAATTACTCATCAAAAAAGTCAGTCTGTCTGAGTTAGTGGAAATGAACCAGTTGTACTGAATAGTACCAATTATCCGAGGAAAATGAGAGCAAACTAGTCGGAAATCCTTCTTATTATAACGAATTGAAAACCAGAAATATAAGCTGAGTAGCTATTAGAGGTTGAAAAAAGGCTTTGGAATAAAGTAATTGATGTTTATACAATAAGAACTGCATTTACACAACCTTCATTTTCAGGATTATTGGTTACTTGAGCATATTTACCCCATACAACTTTACCACTCGGTGTGACCAAACCAAGATCACTGACGTTTACCTAAATGAAGAATAAGAAAAAAAGACGTTTTTTCGTTCATGAATCAAGTTATCAAAAATTGTTAATCTAGTCAATGCAAACGAACGATTATGTAAGTAATTGTCACCAACTGCAACTTATACTTGGAAAAAGATTTATATTTTAATATTTTACAGAACACCACTTTTTGTGTTTAAATACAATGTTGAATAGAAGTGTAAGATGAGGTGAACGAAATCAGAGTGATCGCGTCATCAAGATGCCAAGGATGTTTACGTGCTCATTTCCAATCCAAGGATTTGTCTATAGATCAAAGTTCCAATAGTTAGAATAGACAAATTGTACATAATACAGAATATAACTATCATCACGATAACAGTAGTGATAATAATAATGGGAAACATATAAATTAGACGTTTATTAGCTAAGATTTATAGTCTATTTTAACCTGGCAGAACCACAATTAGTGGATATTTTTTTCTACGAACTCAAATCGATTTAAAACAGCGTGCGGATATCTTTACTTAGCGTAATCATTAGTTATAAGTAATTCAGTCATATCTGAATGAATACAAAACAATTTATGATACGGTGCAATTATCAATTAATGTGATAGGTTCTCCACCAACTAAATTGAGTTATAACTCCTCATTAAAACATCAAGATGTTACTACGGTCAAATAGAAATAATCATAAATAAAGCTCATATAGTATATAGGTTTAGTCCCAATAAGGACTAAATATAAGAATATCTGATACGTTGCAATAATCGAAAACCTTGTGGAGATTAGTTTAATTTAAAAGTGATATTCGTCATACATTGACCTCAGTTGGAATACTATTGAATCGGTTAGTCGTGTACAACGTATAACTACGTACGTATGTACATTAGTTCAAGTTACCACACCACATTAGCTTACAGACGCAATTCAAATCCCATAGTGGTAGATCTAATAGAAGTATAAGACGTAATAGAGAAGATAAGGATTCGAAGATATAATTCAAGAAGTATAATCCAGAGAATTAAACATAAAAAGAGAAAGATAAAGATGACGAGGAATTCAGAAGACAAGGATTTTAGAGAAGACAGATAATGGATGCACATGAGCCATTGCAGACAATTTTCAGCCATACCATTCAAGTTCTCTAACCGGAATATCATTGAGCACCACGGAGGACTAGAAAGCCGTATCATGCTATTGTGGATCTATATCAGAGTACACATAATACCCAGCTAAGGAAGGGATTCACGACCTTTAGGTCTCGAGGAAATTGCTTGACTGTTAAATCACTGGTGGGATCATAGGTGCGTGATACTGAATGAAAAAACTAACCAGTCCTCTCCAGTTTTTAGTCGTATCCCAACTGAAGTCAATCTGTGACGAATATCGCCTTTAAATTAGACAACTCAAGATTCAATAATTTTCGGATTATCCAGTGAGAGAAGGAAGTTTTTTGGAGAAACATGATACATTAGAGTAACATATCTTGAACAACTTATTTGCACATTAACAAATAAGAGAAATGAGGGTGAAACTAAGGAAAGGTTACTTTCCATTGCATATGAGATTATATACAAACTAGATGTAACTATGAATACGTGACCAAAATAAAAAAACGAGCGACTTTTAACACTGAAATCTTATCACTTAATACCCTTTTTATAGCTGATTAATCACTGAAAACTCAACACATATTGATTGAACAGCCGCATATTACAATCGCCATTCGAATAATAAGCGTGACTCACGGCATAATAAACACTTTCATCGACAACGAAGTTACAAAATATGATGCACTTATGATTGAATATGAAGGTATAACTACACTTTAAAACGAAGTAAAACAGTCAATCAATGAATAAATACTAGATGGTGGAACATACCTCAATAATTGTACCTTTGGTTATTACACCTAAAGTAGTATACATAGGTGAACTTGGATTCTTCTTTACGCCAATTATAGGAAGCTGAAAAGTAGTTTTAAGTTCCGGATGAGTGACATTTGCTTTCTTTACACGTAAACCCATTGGCCGTATAAAACGTTCGAATTTAGGAGGTTTTCTTGTGAATGTATCACCGACAAAGCACATTTTAGTAACTAGACGCTTCCATGCTTTACGTTTAGACTTTCCTGTTCGCACAACTTTAAATGCTTCGGCTTCAGACACACTTCTCACTTTTGGTAATGGCACCTCCCATTTTCCCTAATGATAATAAATAAAAAGATAAGAACAGAAAGTACGTCTTCAGATAGATGCAATTATTATAGACAGAAATGTTGAGATAACATAGAAAACAGCACAGGCAATAAAATAGATAATATATTCTGACCATAATTCCAGAAAGTTAACACAGTTACGCTAATGACGCGAAAACGAAAGAATACCATTTACATTGCAATCACTTAGGCTTCCACCCCCACTATTCTTTATTGGAATCAAGATGGTTTAAACAAATACTCTAATCTAGCTATAAATTACATGGTTGGATTCCATTTAAGGTGAGCTATAGGATTTCGGAAGCGTGATTGCAGGTATATATTCGGCAGAATACGAACCAGATGACTTTGATGTTATCAAAAATAAAAATTGCTGTTATCCAGGAGTTTGATGAATATTAATGATGTTTAGAGATTACTGAATGTACAAATAGAAGGTCAGTAAACAAATGTGGTCAAGTGATAACTGTTCATGAGATTGGATGATTAGCCTAAACTCCCGAGTGAATTTGATATCAAAGCTTATATAACGTAAAAATAAAAACAATCAGATATTGTAGATAGTCAGAGGACATAGATTTTGTTGATCACTTGCCCACGAATGAGAAAGATCTTATTCCCACGCTTAATTCCTCCTTATTATGTCAACCAGTATGTTTAATTAATACCAATGAGTGTTCAGTTTATTCTAAAGCATGAAAATCTTACCACTTATAACAAGAAAATATTGCAGCCCTTATTGATTCAGACAATGTAGACCGACCATGCAACGTTTCGAATTGTAGTAGAAAAATTTCAAAACTGCATTAGTATAACTCAGCTGAAACACTGTATGAAATATATTATACGAAGGTCTCCATAGGTCTAAAAATCGCAAATTAGTAACTACAATAACATCGCACCTCTAAGTCAGGAACATTTACAGCTGTGTAAAATTAGTAGTAACATAAACTAGTTGTGCAATTTGTGAGTGAAATTGAAACGCCCAATAATAAATAATTCAACCGGATAAGGTATAATTTTCAAATGAAACAGCGCGATGATGATTGCATCGTGAAATCCCTTATTAATAGGATGATGATTACACGGTAAAATATTAAGACAGCCTAACAATCCTTGACGGTAGATATCTGAAAACTACTAAAAATTCTGCACCAGTTGTGCTAGAAACTGAATGTTTGGAAATAAAATTTACAACTGACCCACTCCCCCGATACCTGATAACAGCAATAAGTGTGGGGACTAGTGGTTCTAGTGAAATAGGTAGGACCGTGCTCAAACTTGGGATCGCGGTTGAACACTGAACACTGATCACTGGCCCACGTGTGTCAGTTATAGCTTCCATACTACGTCAACACAATGGTCCCGACCGTAGCCGCTACCCTGACGTGGTGGCCAGGCTTACCCATCGTGATGATCCAACCCAGCTATATTGGCTAGAAAATATGTTCCTGTAGGTTCTACTATGCCAGGAGGTCGATTGGAGAACGATGAGACTAAAAGCAGCTACCCAAGGTCGCGCTGTTGACTGTGGAGGGGTGAGACATCAGTAAGGTGTTTCGTTCGGACAACGAGCATCTGCAGCGATGCTGCCTTTTCAAAAGGAAGCAAAAGGTTAGTAAACGTCGACCGTAAAAATGTCACACCAAACATTACATAACGGATTTTCGTCTCCGGAGATAAGGCTATTTGAAGAGTGGGGCTAACACTTTAAAAACTTCGTATAAAAAGGCCATGCGTGACAGGTCTCCAAGACCAACGCTAATCTAACTTCGTTTCCAGGTTCCTCAAGAAACAACCTTCCACTGTGTGGGCAGCCGGGAAGTGACATCCACCCCCATACTCGTAACAGCACACGAAACCAAATCAGTCACAATCAAATCCTTCCTACACCCCTTAACATCTCTCTTATTTCCAAACTAACCTTTCTCACATTCCTTAATCACACCACAGCTCTAATGTAAACGATTCGAGTACATGAAACATTATTCCTGGCCTCCTGAAACCACGCTCTAAATTACATTTCGGAGTTTTCAATGGCCGAACCTTGTGCCAAATAGGACAACAGGCTTCCTTAGCCGGGACTTTGGAATCTCGCGCCATCGATGTATGCTGCATCTCAGAAACGCACATACAGGATCAGAGTAGAATATTATGTTGAACTTACTTTGTCAAGATAAAAAATCAACTCGATTAGAGCATCATGTATTTGGAAACCCCACTTCTGCTTCTCGTGGACTCGCGGTTGTGGGTATGGTATTAAGTCTTAGGGTAGAACTAGCTCTCTTAGACTGGATCCCGGTAGACAGTGACTTATGCGCTGTCTGACTGAACGGGACAGTAAGGACTCGTAAAGATAGGGAAATTCGCCGTACCTCTTCGTCGTATCTGCCTACGCTCCCACTGACTGCAGTTCAGACGAGGTAGAAATTGAGTTGTACAGAAACATTTCTAAATTTCTTCAAAAAGTTAAGCGCTCTGATATAGTTATAATGGCTGGTGACTTTAATGCTCAAGCAGGCCGACTGAGAGTGAAGGAAAGACACCTGAGTGGATCTAATGGTGTCGCGGCTAACCGAACAGATAGTGGCGACCAGCTGCTGCAGTATTGCTCAGATAATTGCGTATTTCTAGCAAACACTAACTTTAAGCATGAGGAAAAACATTTCTTGACCTGGCAACCCCCAAAGCCGACCCAACTACACCACATCACTATCAGCCATCGGTGGAGAGGCTCGATAGATGACTGCTGTTCGTTCTGGGGCACATGTTTAGATTCAGACTATACCCTGGTGCAAGCATGTATTTGTTTGCGGCTTACCGGACGTAGGAAAGACACCGCTAGCAAACCTGTTAGGGTTCTACTTAATGATATCATAGCTAAGAATGTATTCCAGGAGCAACTATAAAAGCAGTTAGGCAGCCATGTAAGTTATTCCATCCCGAAGCAGCTTGGAATGATATCCAGAAAGCTATGGGAACAGCAGTGATATCTGCTAGTAAGGTAAATCATAAGGTTACAGAGAAGCCGTGGATCTCAGTAGCATCTGCGAAGCTGATAGATGCTCGTAAACTCATTCCACCTGGCTCCGGATAGGACGAAGAGCGAAGTTAGCTTAAGCGCATGCTGGTAAAAAGCCTACGCAATGATCGCAAACAGTGGTGGGTAACGAAAGCAAAAAAGATGGAAAAGGCGGCGGCGATAGGTAACAGTAGACAACTGTTCCGCCTTATCAAGGAAATCGGTATAAGGAGTCTGACTGTTAGTTAAACAATCTCGGAAAGGATGGCCGTATCATTCAGTCTCAACGCAGAAGATTGGTTCGATGGGCAAAACACTACTTCAAGGATCGATTCAACTGGTCTCCAGCCACGCTTTGGTTGCCCATGATCTCGTCAAAATGAACGGCAAATAGATGTACGTCCTCCGACTCTAAATGAAGTTGAAAAAGCTAAAGGAAATCTGAAGTGAGTGATAGCAGCAGGGCCTGATAAGCTTATCCCTGAAATTTTTAAGCATGGTGATTCAGTTTTAACAGTTGCATTGACTGAGATCTTATGTCACGTCTGGGAACTGAGAGTAACCCCATCTGACTTGTCTCAATCACTGATTGTCTAAATTTATCAGAAATGATAGAAGTCCTCTTGTGACAATCACAGAAGAATCAGTTTGACTAACATAGTATCTAAAATACTGGCCTCAATAATACTTAGACGCCTAATGAAAGCTCGTGAAGAGCAGACTTAGAAAATGAGGCTGGTTTTCGACTAGGAGGTGGCCGTATAGACCAGAAATTCACACTACGTCAGGTCCTAGAACAAAGACACGTTCAGACACCCCACACTAGTAGTGTTTCTTGACCTTAAGGCGGCATTCCATTCCGTCGGTCGTGAGGTTCTGTAGCAGTGTCATTAAAAGGTGTACCAAAGAAGTACATTAACCTTGTACGAGCTCTTTTCTCGAACAATACTGGCTGAATGAAAGTTTATCGCGAATTGTCATAGGAATTCATTACTTCAAGTGGTATCCGTCAGGGCTGTCCACTTTCTTGACTCTTCTTTAACTTTGTCATAGACATGCTTTTAGAGATAGCATTATCTTCGTCTGACTTTTCAAGGGTGAACCTTCTACCAGGAGACACGCTTGTTTATTTAGAACATGGCGACGACATAGTTCTATTTGGTGAAGACAATGAAAAAATGAAGTCCTCTGACCACCTAAAACGACAATGTAAGCATGTTCGGGACGCGATTCTCCCCATCGAAATACAAGATGTTGCTTCAAGATTGGCTTGCGTCGGCATCTGAACTAGTAATAGGATGTGAAGTAGTTGAGCGTGTTGACCGCCTCACTTATCTCAGGAGTTCCATCAGTCCTAATGGCCTGGTGACGACAAAACCTCAGCACGGATACAGAAGGCTCGACTGGCTTTCTCCAACTTGCGTCACTGATGGCTTAGGCAAGATATCCGTCTACCAACCAAAGGACAAGTCTACTGTGCAGCACTTCACTCCGTCCGACTATATGTATGCGAAACATGGCCGGTAAGAGTTGAGGATATTCGAAGGTTATTACTATTCAATAATGGATGTCTTAGAAGCATTGCTCGTGTATCTTGGGACAACCAAGTAAGCGATGCTGTCGTTAGGAAACGAGTTCTAGGTAGGGATGGCAAATCAATAGATGAAGCATTGAAACCTCATCAGTTGAGGTGGTTAGGACATGTGTTTTGTGGTGTAGGAGTAGGTTGGAAGAAAGCTAAGTGACCAAACCAAAACATGGCAGAAATCCATGAGGTCACTGACAAGTGGACTGAGTCATGGTGTAAGTAAAAACATCCTGGTTGAGACGATAGTAACGGGTGGTTAGAGACCTTGAACGACATGATTGAAAAATCATTTGCAGTCGTTGAGATGCATGCATTCTTTGTTTTCTCTCAAGTCATTATCTTCTCAATTTCTTATTACCTTTATCTTTGTCTTTTTATATTTATTTCACCGGATTATACCTCTTTAATAATTTCTTCGAACCGCTAATACTTCTACTATCTCTACCAGATGAGATTTGGACTGACAATTGCATCTTTGTGCTAATGTGGTATGAGAACCTGTACTTAAGTGTGTACGTATGAAGTCCTACGTCTTAACTTAATGACTGACAACACAATGAGATAAAACGATCATGTGTGCCAGAGTAGCAGTGGTGACAGCATTCGCGATAGTGGAAAAATTAGATACATACATTATGATTCAAGAATTACTTTGGTAAAAAACTAAAGATCGATGGAAAACAGATAGTTGATGCATTTGTTGCATTTCGATTTGTTACAAGTCATCCCACTTAACATATCCAACTCTAAATATTTAATTCAAGTCATTTCAACTAATCCCGATATAGACTGCATCGAAACCAAAGTGCCAACAACTATTACATGATGGCTTCATTGCGACAGGTAGCCCCATTACCCGCTACAGAGTAGGTTCTCGTTCCCCTCTGTTATCAAATGATAAACCGACGGGTTGGTAATAGTAGTGCTGAAACCAGGGTTTTGTAAAAATATTGCATAAGTCATCTGATATAACAAACAAGTTGGGAATGGAAAGGCATTCAACGAGTAGCACGAATGAAGTCTGAACTGCTGCAGGTAATTAAACGTCGCTATGAAAGTAGGAGTGACAATGACTAACCCGTCAGTCAGTTATAACGCAGAACTTCGTACTTAAGTTCATCAGCTTAAGTTGTCATACCACAATAGCACAAAGACGCAATTGTCAATTCAAACCCCATAGTAGTAGAGGTAGTAGAAGTAAAAGCAGTAATCAAATAGGTTAATTATGGGATCTAGCATTCAGAGGAACCAATTAAAAAACGAGAAAAAACGGTCATGAGGAATTCAGATTGGGATTTGGGAGAACACATAGAGTGGATGCACCCGCGCCATTACAAACGATTTTGGGCCATGTCGTTCAAGACCTATAACCGTCGACTACTAACATCTCGTGGACCTGTAAAAACACGCGAGACTAAATCAGCCACAATCAAATCCTTCCAAATCCAACAATTAATAACGCCAAATTTTTAGTGCTGATTTGATCCTTACTGCGCAATTAGCAGAACAACTGAATGTGATGCTAAATTGCTGCAGTACGAATGTTAGAGGTAAGTAGCCAGTCGGGAGCTGTCTAGTGTTCATTGTCCTGATTTAAAGATTACAGAAATCCTGTAAACCATTAACTCGCTTAAAAATGAGCTAAACGGTAAGAAATGAATACCAAGTCTTGAAATAAAGTAAGTCTTACAGCTTTTTCAGCCTTTTTCTGCTTAACGGTGTTAGATAAAACTTTTGCAGAAATCTGTTCGCCACGATCCAGAAGGTATGCGGGTATTTCTCCAGATCGCCCAGCTTTGTCAACTTTTTGGTTCTTTCTTTTCAGCTCGTGCATTCGTAAACTAGTCAGATATTAGCTTAATTCGAAACCTTACGTTTTTTTCATTTGCACTTTTTCTTTGAATCTCTCTTTATTTGCAATCTTCGCCTTCAGTCCTCGAAGCTTCTTGGCTTTGCGACTTCTTTCATGAGGTTCACGAGCCTCTTTTTTCCGTCTGAAATATCATATACTAAGTACATAAAGACTAACTTTCTTTCAAAATAATCAAAACGGTACCCATGGCGCTTGCGATGAAGCTCAATGTGTTCGTTTTGTGGCTAAACAGTTGATAACAATGTACAAACCAAACCCACCATGTGATTTTTCCTAGAATTTGTGTCAGGCAACCTTCCAAGCGACCTTCAATATCCAGTATCCAATATCCAACAATTTTTTCATGAGCTAATATAAACCAATTCAAAATAACCATTATCTTTTTCACGAACTAGTATGGACCAACTGATTTACTTGCGCTCGATTCTTATTCTTTCGGTACTGTTCCGGGTGTTTGGTAGTGCCCAGTGAACGGGGTTTAGCCACTCGACTGTCTAATTCTAGTCGCTTGACAGTTGGTTGTGAGTTTGTAAGTGAGGTGATTTTAATGAATACGTTTCTTTCAGTGCAGTAGCATTTCCGGAAGTCAGCAGCTATCACATTACCAGACGAGAGATCATTTAGTTGCAATGTGGAGAATGATAATGAGAAAATTCTAATGCTAATATGAATAAGATGTCATAACCAAGTAATATATAGATAATTTAGTTTAGTAAGTGTTATTAAAGATTGTGAGAGAGGACTGAAGTGTAAGGAATGGAGGGAAAACGAAGATAGGTTAAGGCGAGAGAGATTAAGTTAGTGATCTGAGGAAATTGCAATAATAACAACTTGCAGGTCTCAAGACATGCATCAAGCATAGCTTGTCCACGAGAGAGACGATAATCCATGGAGAGTATATGTTTATCGAGTCTCTTCTTATAGCTGTCCACTGAGGAAGCTGTTGTCACCTCGGCTGCGAGGGCATTCCAAGTTTCAACGACACTCAATGATAAAAAGTGTGCAGAACCTGAGTGTTCGTTCTCCGCTGTGCAATTTTTCGAGGATTACCTCGAGGGGAGTAATGGTGATACATTTGTAAGATGCTCACGTCGGGATGGTTTGTCGTGCCTAATATGTTTTACACCATAACCAGATCCAGTAACTCAGGGGGAATAATCCCAAGGACTGGAGTCTATCCACGTAAGTTTTATATTTCCACCCTATCATTCATTCGTTGTTCGTCTCTGCACCCGATCCAAGAGGTTTATGTCTCTTTTAAGGAGAGGTGGTTCCATGACGTTGTAAACCTCAGGCTGTGGACGTACATATGTCTTGAACAGCGTTGAGAATAATTCTGGGGTGATAGCAACAAGTTGTCTTCGCATAAAGTGAAGAGTTGCATTTGCCTTGGCTGCGTCCCCTACATAGTTCGAGCTGTTGTGGAGGTATTCAGTCGCTTTTAAACCGAGATCGCTCTCTAAAAAGACATTAGAGAACGGACTTCCATTGAGGGTGTAAATCACTTGTGTCATATGAAGCAGAATGTACATGACGTGACGTTTCGGCTGATTTCTTTTTAAATCATTTTTCAATGCCCATTCCTCAAATGATGTAATGCCCTTTTGAAGCTCAGTCAAATACTTCGAATTGACCTCCAGGACTTTGCATCTTCTGAGTAGATCAATGCCGCTAAGCTAACTTTATCTTACAGATCGTTTATCAATATCAGGAAGAGTAGTGGACAAAAAATGGTCCTCTATTAAATTCTCGATGATGAGATTCGTCAACTTGCATGCACTCTATTGAACTTCGTACGTAATTTCCTCTTCTCAGTGTAGTTCCTGAGCCAAGGTATGAATGGGTCAGTGGAGCCTATTTTCGCAACCTTTGCGATTAGGCGTGTGTGGGGTACTGTATCGAAGGCTTTTTCATAGTCTAGAAATATTGCGTGCACTGGTATTTTTTGGTATTTTTTTGAGCACGATGTTCAACTGTTCCATGCAATGAGAAGATTAGATGCGCACGATCTGTCTTTTCGAAACCCATGTTGAGCTTCATATAGTATTTTTTTTTCTTATCCATGAACTCCCTCATTTGTCCGTTTACAAGCCCTTCCATTACCTTTGGTAGTATTGATAGTAATGCAACTGGTCCGTAACAGACTGGGTCTTTCCTATCTCCACCTCTGAAGAATGGAGAGAGAGTAGCTTGTTTCCACTCATCATGGAGTTGGTGTGACTCTAGTGAATGCCTGAACAGGTCACATGTCGGTGAACATAGGACTTCTGCACATTGCTTCAAGACTATGAGGCGAATGTTGTCACAACCAGGTGACTTACCTGGGCCTAAGGATTTTAGTTTCCTTAGTACTAAGTCAGGAGTGATACGGATGTTCCCTAAGCCGTCAGCTGGCACCTGGTTTGCGTAGAACTCTGAACAAGTGGATTCCTGGTTTAACTAATTGGTGAAGTTTGTGTTGAAGATCTCAGCCATCTCTTGATTGATGAGGTATTTCACATTCGGACCGTTGAGAGAACGCAAACCCTGATTTGTAAGTACCTAAACAAATGCATAAGATTTGCTTGTATTTGCACAGCTAGCTTCATCTGAAAGCGTCTCTTATCACTTTGAAATCTTGTATTGCATCTGTTTCTGAATGCTAAGTAAGAACTGCAATGAGAATCCTTCAATAAGACCTTCAAATTATGCCAGCAATCAACTCAACATTTGTTTAACCAGGTTCAGTGTTTACGATCAGTGGTTTGTAGAAGTGAATAAATCTGCAAATAGATGACCTCAATAATTTTACTTGACACACTGGCTAAGCGTGCTCGGGCATGCATCTGCACGAGAACAACGTTGAGTGAGCCATTGTGTCTATTCCTCGCAAAAAGTAACCAGCTGAGATCACTCCTCGATACTGAAACTATTATATAAACATACCCTCTCCCTGACTTTTCCTTTGACTGCGTTTGAGAATCACGGCTAGAAAGGTGTTACGAACAAGTGATTTCTCTATGTAGGAGGTCTTATCACATGAAGGAAATACAATTCAAAATATTTTAGTGGTAAATAAATCCTCAAAAATGAATACAAGGCAAGTGTTCCACAATTATGCTGACTTTATTAATTGCTCTGAACACCCTATCAGTTTCTGTCACCTTATAAAGCATCTGTAATAGATCACTTTTTGGTACGCCGTGCTACTCATCTCTTATGACACTTAATCGGCTCACACTGAATATACTTTAACACACCGACAATTATTTTAATATTTCTTAGCGCCGAGTCACCACTTGCTACTTGATTAATCGGAGTTAGGAACACAAAACAAGAAGTTTCAGACGGTGGCACTGACAGACACTGAGCATCCGCGACCTTCTGCAAAGTGATAAATATCCAGCTCGACATATTGTTCCGTTCCTCTTGAAAGATTCCAAGAAAGTGGTTTGAATAACTCCTGTCAGTTGCAGCATAGATTGCCAAACCTACTTACTAGTAGAAAGGAGAATGTGTGGATACACTTAGGCTCATTATGTTATACCAGTTTCCAGGTATTACTTAAGAGTTTCGTTTCAAAAACTGAACTTTCGAAAGTACTTCGGAGTACTCTAGGTACTGTCTTTCAGAACCACGTATTTCAAACGAGTGAAGATCCAATAATTAAAGACACTCCTCACTAGCTCAACTTTATCCCGTAGATAATTCTGATTGTTTGATATGCTTCGATGAGTCCTCATCATTTCAGAGTGCGGAAGGGTACACTGACTCATCATAATAAGAATGGAGGTGAATAAAATCATTAAAATAAGAGTAAAACTACCCACTATCTTGCAGTGTATTTCAAAGTTCTCAACGTAGCCTTTACAATGATAGCATTAATACTCCCATATCTCTTCTAACCTGAGATATTACTTGAGGGCAGTTACCGGAACTGCATGCGAGTTTGTAACACGTCTCAAAGTGAAGTGACTTGCAAATCGACTAGTTGTATCGGTTCATTATTGTCCCCAACCATAGACTTAACAGAGATACTTTCAGTTACAGCATGTCATCCTGACCAAAAGATTTTCTCCAAAATCTAAAGCATTCACCAAAAATCAACTCAGAAAACGTTTGCTGGTGTGGTTATTTCGTAACTTTTTAAAGAAGCTACTGGCTAATAGTTTGAGGCATAAATTTTTGAGTTTTCATGAAGCTTAGTTACTTTTCTCCAGGACCGTACTTGCATTTAAGGAAGGTACGAGATGATACCTAACTTCATTGGATGTTTGTCTCATTTTAGAAGCTTTCGTTTAATGAACCTTTAGATTTAGTATCGATAAATCAGCAATTTTTGTACCTAAGATTCCAGGTATTTGAAATGAAACTCAGAAAAGCAGTGTTAGTTATTGTTTTGAGTCCTAAATAGTGTAAGAGGCAGTAAAATTTGAATGCTGGCCTTGTTAAATTTAAGGAACTCAGACTTTAGCTTACTGCTATCCGGAGTCTCCTGGATATCGTAGCAGTGACGTAACACAAAACTTTAATCCCAATGTTGCACAACTGAACGCAAAAATAAACAACTATATTTACTTTCAAATCTGTAGAAGCCTACTATCTACCCCTACTATTTATATAAATATGCTAAAAAGTCAGAAACGTGGTTATAGTAGATCATTTTCAGGCCTTGTTCAACAGCACGGTAGTGTGGAACTAAAGTAGGTGTCAATCCATTTCAGCTGATCGGTCACTGGATAATGGTGTTTTATAAATCAGGACCTATTTATAGCTGATCGAATTCTATCGATCAAGTTCCAACTACACTTTGACGGTGAGTGCCGTATGGCAATAGCTTTTCTAGTAGTTTGTCTCCAACTACCATCTCATTCCAAAACGTCAACTCTTGAACTTCCAGTAGCGTTAACACTAATTTTTGTACAAGCTCCCTTATATCATACCCCATGTAGATGTCCTCCTGAGTGTAATGGATTATTGATTCTTGGCAAATGAAAATGAATTGCAGACTGAGGGTGTGATGACCGAAATTTAGATACAGATTCTGAATTCATGGGACCAGTAAATTGACAACAAAATATCTCAACGCTTAACTCCGTACTATGGGGTCAAAGGTTTATGAAGCACACAGTTGCAAACTACAGGGTACAAAACAATTGATAAATAAGTGTCAGACATCAAGAATAATCGTGTGCCCACATCGTTACTTCGACTTTGATGGAACAGACTTTTACTGCTAATAACTACGCACCATGCAGCAAGGCAACTAGGTGATTAAGATCCATATTAGCCAGAGCATAATAACAAATTCCCATCGATAAAAGACTAAGAATCATAC